AATTAGTTTCCAGGGACGTCGTGTTATTTCCTATAGTCTGAGCTGTATCTTGCGTAATGAGCCGTCAAGCTTTTTTGTTTGTTTGTTGAAATACAAATAAGGGCACTGTATAAAGGCATTATTTATTTTGTTATAAAATATATTTGAAAATTGGTCCAAATAATATGCGCAGCACTGATGCTCAACTGACGGATTTATTTTGTATGATCTCTGTTTTCCAATTGGAGCTGTAAGGCTTTTTTTCTAGATGCTTTGTACCAAAAATAATGTCTTTTATCCCCCTTCTCATTTGCCATAGTTATTTTAAATTAATATTTTAACAGCGTCATGTAGTCTGAATTTTGTAGGCATGTTATGTCACAAAATATTCACATACTCGTAATAATCATGATCTGCATGGGTCTCCAGAAGCCTGTCAAGGTTACAAGAGAAACAGCAGTATCATCGAGTAACTTTATTAACTGAAACTGTTCAACAACAGTTATATTCAACCCACTATTTTTGAAGCCACTTTAGTATTGATGGCGGGGGAATGTCGAGTCCTTAATTAAATAATGTCTTCATAATTCTGCACGGTGTCCAGCGATCTTGTAAGGAGCATCTTGTCTGTGTGCCAGAGATGCAAATGCCGTCACAAATAGTGTGTTGATCAGATCAAATGTCACTAGAGGGTCTTAATTCGCACAGTGCGCCTTTACCCTCATTGAGATTAATGTCAGTGGTCATTGACTCTCTTGCTTTCTCTTTTCGCCTTCTCTGTCCAGCTTTCCGTCTGTCCGTCGACCGATCTATCTATCTATCTAACTATCTATCTATCTAGCTATCTATCTATCTATCTAACTATCTATCTATCTAGCTATCTATCTATCTATCTAACTATCTATCTATCTAGCTATCTATCTATCTATCTAACTATCTATCTATCTAGCTATCTATCTATCTATCTAACTATCTATCTATCTAGCTATCTATCTATCTATCTAACTATCTATCTATCTAGCTATCTATCTATCTATCTAACTATCTATCTATCTAGCTATCTATCTATCTATCTAACTATCTATCTATCTAGCTATCTATCTATCTATCTAACTATCTATCTATCTAGCTATCTATCTATCTATCTAACTATCTATCTATCTAGCTATCTATCTATCTATCTCTCTATCTATCTATCTATCTATCTATCTATCTGGCTCTTCCACATCAATGTCCTTGATCTTGTGAACCATCACCTCCCACTCATCCAAGCACTATGTGTTTTAATGAAGGGCTAATGCAGTCATAGGATTCGGGTAAAGAAATACGCACTCTGCAGGGAAGAGTGTCATAGTTCCTGAGTAGGAGATAATTGCGTGGCGGGGAAAAAGGCGTTATTTAGAACCTTCCATAATCATGTGGCAAACCACTGAAGCCTATGACATTCACCTTACCACTTCCTCCGGAAATGGGTTATGCATCACCCAAATGAAGACCGAATCAATACTCGCCATACTGAAGTGAAGGCTCAAGCCAATACATCTACATTTGTTTCCACAGATATCTTCTATATCCTTGTCTGATTATATTCGATTTCCATTGTGCAAAGAGACAGACAGTGCAATTATTGTTATTATTATTATTATTATGCTGGGACTGCATTCATTCACTCTTGTAATGTTCAAACAGGCTACTCTAGAGTTGTTATAATGAAATACAACCACTTCCTTTGCTAAATATGAAGAGCTATCATGCAGAGCAATGGCAACTTCTTCTTTGTCACGAGCTCACTCAGACTGTGTGTATTTTGATTTAACCTCCGCACGCTAGAACGTCCGAAATGCACAATTTATGTACTATGATTTTTAATATCAATAAAAAAAAACATTTTATCAAACATACAACATGAAGCATAGTTATTGTATCCTTTCCATTGTCCGCCTTCTGTAACGGTGCTTGTTCAATGCTGGCTTTATGAGTTCAGCTTGGCCTTTTCGGACCTGTATTGGAAGCAATCAAAAGTTCTGTGCCGTCTAAATGATTTATTGTCTAGAGGCTTTATAAAGAATTTTCTGCCGCTTTCATCTTGCCACCCCTCCCCACCTTTTCTCCACCTCTGCCTGCCTCCGTATCTGCCCTTCTGTCTTCTGCACCGTGCACATCACCACTTACACAGTAGAAGGCAGAAAGGCTGGATGCAGTTTCTCTCCTGCGTGCCACACTAAATGTGGCCTGTTGTCACCCCCATCCTGCAGTGGCATATTACTAATGGAGCAAGTTGCTATTCTGTGGCTATCTTTGGAGGCTGACATGTCTCAAATTATCAGCTGCATATTTGGAAAATGGCATGACCTGTTTTTGGAGACATGCATGCGCATATACCCACCCACCCATGCTTTGTCTGTTACCAGGCAGATTTACAGTAGAATGACTTCCCCAAATGGAACCGTTTCTGGGGAATGTTTTATCATGGAGTTTACTTTGGGCTGACAGTGTTGTTTAATTTTACTATCAAAGAGTTAAAGCCTGAAAATGAGAAATGCTACGTTTCCTTAGTTGCGTTTCATGTCTGTGTGATACTGTGTGGCCATAATTGATCATGTCAACTCTGATTTGTGCTGTTTTAGACTGTCTCCTGCATGACACAACAGTCACTACAAATTTACTAGCTCTATGCAGGTTACTGCTATCTCCATCACCTGCTTTGTGATGTAGCCATGTGATGGGCACTTCCTCATCATATGGGGTGGTCAAATCAATGGTGGCCCAGGTTGGTCTGGCTCCTAAATGCAGCCAAACATGCCAAAGTTATACTTCAATGCTTAAGTTGAGAAAGCCTTTAAAAATCCATCAGTGGTGGATATCTCGTACAATCCAAACAAGGTGAATATTATTTATTTAGTGCCAGTTGTTGTCCAGTTACTGGCAGTGGTTGTCAAGAGAAACATTTTGTGGGCTATTCTTGTCATTGTGCAGCCGCAAAGCGAGTAAATCGCTTTGTTCCTCATACTTCAACTCAATTTCATGCATGGGTATCTTTTAGCTGGCATTTTGGCAAAAAGTTAATTGTCGCCAAAATTTTCATACCCTTTTCTAATACTATGCATGCGCAGTCCTCTATATTTGGCTACAGTTGATTAGAATTCTTAAAGTTAAGTTTTCTTTAGAATGGGTTAACCCTCTGGTTGTGCTTCCTCAAAATTGTCTAATACAATCAGTGAAATGTATTATTTTCAGATAATTTCTTTTTTTAAAAATGCATTTTTTTTTCATAAATTTATCCTGATACAACTTCTCCCAGGATTAAGCCACTTTATTGTGCCTTTTCCAACCAATTCAAAATTTGACCTGGCTCTAAATGTCTTGGCCTTAATTGCATACATTTGTGTGATGACAATATAAAATACTGATAAATCATATGTGTGTACAATTAAATTAAGCAGAAGCATGCAATTTGTGAGCGTGCACTCCATAATGTTGGGTTTATTGTCAAGAAATGCCTACACACATCTGCATTCAAAACGGCCATTTTACGTCCACCGTACTGTAACACCAGCAGAGCATAATTCTGATGATTGAAGAATTCCAAAACGCAGGGGCTATACAAACCATAATCTCAAATCACCACATTCATCCCATCAGAGAGGCCTCCTGAATGGCAGAGTGGAGTGTAGATGTGGGTGGCACAACTCTCCCAAGCCTGACACTGGAAACTGCCAAAGAGCACACTAGAGTTAGTTGTGGTTGGCCGGATGCACGGGATGCATGTAAGGCCTGGCCAACTATTGAGGCGCAGGGTTCGTCAAGCCCAGACCATCGCAACCCAGTGTGGCCACACAGGCCAATTAAGACTGGCCTTCTCTCTTTTCTTCTCCTCCCCTCGGCTATCTCTCTCTCATCTTCCCCCTCTCTTTCTCTCTCTCTCTCTCTCTCTCTCTCTCTCTCTCTCTCTCTCTCTCTCTCTCTCTCTCTCATACTCCCTCTCTCTTTCTCTCAACCTTCACAAAGCATGCTAACACATTCCTCTTATCCCACTTTGCCTCTCTAATTGCAGCAGGCTGAAAAGCGGGATGGAGAGAGGGAAATGAGATTGAGAGAAAGGGACGCAGAGAGGGAAAAAAGGGGGTCATACCACACACCCTACACAGGCAGGACAAACTGTACTGGCCCCTGGAAGAGTCCGTGTCGCTGTGTGCAGTTTGCGTCAGGTGAAGCATGAATGTGAGCATGAATCACCTCTCTGTTCATTCATTACACAGATATCTGAAAGATTTGGCTAATTTTCAAGAAAACAAGTACTCCACAAATCAAAAATATAACTCAGTCTGAACCCTCACATGGGCTGGGAGTATAAAGAGGGGATTGTGTTTCTTCGGCTCCCCACAAAACTATCTAATTGTTGATTCTTAATCAAGCCGTCGGTGTGAGGAGGCTTCCCAAATTATGTAACTGTTGGCGCTCGAATATATATTTACAAAGAAGTGGACATTTTCATTTTTTTAAATCTGGCGTGATGAGGGTCTTGGAAATTTCTACTTTCTACTAATTATTCTACACCAGAGGCGTTGCTAGCCCAATTTGGGGGTGCTCAAGCACCCATCAACCGTGAAATTTGAGAGATAGTTTATTTATTTAGTTATTTAACATTTATTGATTGATTTATATGGCCTTCTAAACAAACAAGAAAGGTGCTTAAACATACATAAAGTACTGAATAAATGAATATTTTAACAAAAATAAAGGAGGATCTGCAACATGTGGAGCGTCTTCAATGT